AGATTTACAAAGATATTGGAGTGAATTTACAATGTTGGAGTGAATTTGTTATATTCAATCTGACTATCCTAATCCAATAACCCCCAAGTCTCCTGAAGGAACCCAACAGTGACCTTCCTTTCACTGAGGCCTTAACAGAAATACATTGGTGAGGGGAATATCAGCATTCATGAAAAGTATTTTAATGACTCTTCTCTGTAAGCAGAGAAGATTTGAGGAAAATGCCATTGTTAAAAAGACTTCTGATTTCAATGGAGACATCATAATTTGGGGGTTGATAACGCATTAATGATAATGCATTAATGGGGGTTAATGCATTTTGTAGCATTTAACAACTGGAGACAAATGAAAACAGTTATAACAGGAGTAGGTCCAATGTAATCAGAATAGTTTGGTCCACAGAAATCTTTGGTGGTGGATAGTTAATTACAGCCCCCACCTCCCAGCCTGAAATGCTGTTCACAAAATTAACAGCCAGATCATGAGAAATGGGTGCCATTTTAAAAACGGGATACAGTCATGCCAGTACAGACCAGCTGAGCATCAGCCCAGCTTGGGACCAAATGCATGGGCAACCTACGTAGGTCCTGTTTGACGTGGGTGACAGCGGCACCAAAGCCTGACCGGAGCCACCAAGATAGAGTATCACTCAATTGCCACACACAATATGAGTGAAAGACCCCTGAGATGGGAATCTCTAATATCGAAATCTTTCTGCGGGGTGTTGTCCTGACATGGACTGTTTCCCTCCCCCCTCAGGAAGTGGCCTCTGGCCAGTGCTGGCCTCTGAAGTGTGTACATATTCCCAGTGACGAGTCATGGGATGCAGGTGACCAAGCAAAGCTGAAAGCAATGTAGTGGGCACTCTTAATCAATGTAATTATAAACGCCAGATAGGAATGTGAATAATTACCTTGATTGCTCTGATTATAAAACTGCTAGCTGTACTGCCCTGAGGTGCAGATTCTTCACTGCTCTGCTGCCATCGGTGTCTCCTGTAAGTTCTCATAAACTAACGTCTTTCCCTTCTGGACTTCCAGGTGACTTCTTTGGAATAGGTAAACATTATGTACAAGCTCTCTCAGATTTGGGGTTACACTTTCTAAAATAATGCTTCCAAAATCTTCCTTTTGAGGCTCCCACTTACTAGGGTAACAACGTGCTGGAGAAAGGAGACGGTTAGGCCTCTTGGAGGTCATGTGGGAACAGCTCTAACTAAATGCAAATTTCTGGGGTCGCTGAAGCCCTTATGATCTATGGGACAAGGTATACGCTCCAGGAATGAACCCATCCTCCAGTTATTTTCCCAGTGAAGCGTTAGAATTGATTTCTTTATCTTTTATGGCAATAATACCCCCATTGGATCCCTGATGCATAAATAGAAGGTTATTTTAGCATGAAATACCGGACAATTTACAAAGATGCATCCCACCATTGAAAGCTTTAAAAGAAGGAGCGTGATTCTGATAATATCCTGATTTAAGACAGTCTTTGGTACATGTGGGAGGAGGCAGACAGGCCACTTATTTAGAACCTTAATCAGATGGGAATTCCCACTGCAGCTGTCACGTAAGGTCTCCTCAGAGCGTATTGGGAGGTAGCTCACTGCTGAGTTGTTCAGTGCTTTTTTTCAGTGAGCACAGGACATTTGAAGCAGGTTGCTCTGTCTCAACAACAGGGTCTTTTTTCCATGTTTCATCACCTCTCTGTCAAAATCGTTCCCAGTACCAAACCTGACCATTCTGTGATGCTCAGGGCCGCATGCCAGTGCAAGACACAGGCGATGGCTTGCCGACAGGCCCCGGGCCCTGGAGTCATTAGGTTTCCCGAATGCCGGGAAGATACGGCATGCCCAAGGGCGGAAGATAAATCCCACAAAAGCACAGGGCCTGCCACCTCAGCCAGGTCCTGTGGCTCTGGGGAGGTCCAGCGTCTGGGGTAGCGGGGAAGGCCCCCCTCCAGTGAGGAACGCCTTGTGTACTTTGTCCCTCCTCTGACTGACGGAGGATGCTCAGTGTGTGGTGGCCTCTTTCCGTGTAGTGTGTCCTGCTCACATCCACTCACGGGTTGGCCCTCCTGCCTTGCGCGTTGACTGGGCTCAGCAGGCGCGACCTTCCCGGCTGGTCCAGGCTGCAGTGAAACCAGTTCCACCACGCGGGCTTCAAGAGGGAGATTCGCTGGGCTCAGAGCGTCTGTGGCAAATCGGGATTTTGTATAAAACTGATTTTTTAGTAAAGCCATGCCCTGTTTAGAAAAGAACGCTTCTTTTGGCTTATTACTGCTGGTCTACTTGAGACAGAACACATGCCCAAACATTGTTCTGTTCAAAAGGGCTCCGCGAAGACCTCCGACAGGCACCCTCAGAGCCTCCTTGAGTTCTGAAGGGGACTGAGGCGTGTATGCAGTCACGGGACCACTGGAGTCCACAGGCGTCATGCTCTTGCGGTCACACGGAACGTAGGGGTCTGCCTGTCCAGCACTCACTCCTCAGTTCATTACGCAAGCATCCTCAGCTCTCAGCCTAACACATCACAGACCATTAAGGGATGGAGAGCAAAGAAGGGGCTTGAAGAATGCTTAATTCAGGAAACTTTTACAAGACACTGCGTATCCCCCTGTAGCCCAGGCTGGAGGGCAGTGGCACCATCACAGCTCACGGCAGCCTCGACTTTCTGGGTTCGGGCGATCCTCCCACCTCAGCCTCCTGAGCAGCTGGGCCTACAGGCATGTGCCACCATTCCTGGGTGACTTTCAGAATTTTCTGTAGAGATGAGGTCTCTCTGTGTTGCCCAGGCTGTTCCCAAATTCCTAGGTTCAAGCGATCCAAAGTGCTGGGATTACAAGCGTGAGCCACCACACTCAGCCTAGGACACTGCAACTTTTATAAATGAGCACTCTTCCCAAATAAGCATTTAAAAATATAATATGTACAGTATCAGAATCCATAAGTTAAAAGCAGTCTACCCTGATCCTGACGTCCAAGAATGGGTGATTCTGGGTGGCTTGGAGGAGGCGGCAAACAGCCCAGCACGCAGTGGCCCCGGAAGGGTGGCCGAGGGTTCAGCAACAGCCCACGGCCATCCCTCCAGGGCTGCCGGGGGGTCTTGGTTACTTTCCCTTCCCAAAGCACACAGCCAGGGGGCAGTCCTCCAAGGTGAGCTCTGTGTGTGTGTGTGGGGGGGGGGGGGCTCCTATCAGGCTGTGCAAAAAACCAACAGTCTGCTGGACATAGACAGTTCTGAATTGTTTGTTCTAGAAAACCTATACTTCTCACATAATAAATACCTGTTAGTGCTTCGGATAGGAAAAAAGTATTGCAGGATGCTCACATTGGGCACCGAAAAGTCACTTCTGAAAAATGATCAGAAACGGCTCCAGAAGCAGCGAAAAGTTCATAAACTTGGGCCCATTCCTTTTTCTTTCCATTGATCTTTCTGTAGCTTCTTCTGCTAATTCAATCAAACCTGTGAGGTGGGTAGATGCACATACAGTTTCAGCTCAAAGGAAAAAAGGCTCAACCTAAGGAAGGTGATTGAAAAATAGAAAGAAACAAGGTGAATGGAGCTACATCTACTGAGGGCCGAAAAAATGTGTGGTTGTTAATCCACTTGTTGAGAGCTTTGGGGAGACTGTGTGGGAGAATGACTCCTGCCCTTGTTTTCAGTCCTGGCAGAGACTTGAGAGATGAATCTTTGGCAACGCAAGTTCTATTTCTTCCCTCTGCGTCTAGATAAAATGTGAGGCCCCGGCTTGGGTTCCAGCACATCAGAGATGAAAATTAAAACATGAACAGTCTGTTGGCAGGAAGGCAAAAGAAAACATGCACATGTGTACACACACACACACACGTGCGTGCGCACGCAGAACCTCCACTTGAAGATGTGGATCCTGCCCCGAAACTCCTTCTGCACCAAGAAGAGACCAGGCAGGTCAGGCCCACCCAGTTCCAAGACCCCCTTGGGCAGTGAGTGCTGGTGCATTGCGTCCTCTCCCGAGCCGAGGCCACATGCCTGCATCACAGGCACAGAGACTACAAACCAGAGGCACTCTTTCTTCAGGTCTGCAAGCTCCCCCGAACACTTAGCAGGAGTGACACAGTCCCCTTTTGTCACCAAGTCCCAGCACACAGCTTTGTAGTCCCGAGAGGGCCGGGCCTGGACAGCAGCAGAGTGCCAGGGCCCAACGGGAGCTGGGACGCTTCCCGGGAAGAGCAGCTGTAGCTAAGGAAAGACCACGGAGACGGGAAAGCTGCGGAGGCTGATTGTGACAGCCCTTAGCGCGAGACTCCCAGAAAGTCTTGGGAAGGGATGGATACCTTGCAATGAAACTGGTAAGAGCTATTTCAACAGGGGTTTCCTTCATTAAAATAAACTTCATTTTGATAAAGGCTGATGAAGCCTATGGCGCCTGGCATTTTCAGAAGAGAGAGCAGCAACTTATCACCAAACTGCAGAACTGGAATTTTTCCCCACTAAGGTGATGGTGCGGCCATCCACGCCCGCTCCCACCCAGCACTCTCGCCCCTCGTAGCCACGTACGCTGGCAAAGGGTGGATGAAGCCAGGCCAACGCTGTGTGACAAGAAACCCTGCATCTTACTGTGTGTGTGGATCAGAATTACATGAGGAGGACTGGGGTCACTAGCACTAGTGTCCTTAGTGAACTGATGTAAACAGTTGGAAGAATCCACAGCAGTGTGTGTCATCCTCACGACCCTGGGGCCTTCATCTCTAGGGTCCCCTGCCACCGCTGTTAGGATCCAGCTTTACTTGAATGAAACACTCAAAACCGGAGTTTAGCTTAATAAAAAAGGACATGTGCTTCCTTTTAAACTTGATTTGGAATTCATTTCCAATCCTGAAAGGAAAGTCGGGTGTGTCCCCCGTGCACCAGCACCAACAAAGGGAGCTATGGCCCCTGTATTTACGAAAGCACAACCGCAGTTTGGTTTCTGGCACTGACTGTGGGCTTTGGACCCCCTCTTCAGTCACATCAGCTTCACAGGTTAAATGGATTGTTTTTATTAATTTACAACAGAACTGTTTTCAAACGACTTGACACAAGAACCCAGAGAGAACATCGCAATCACACTGTTATAAAGTTAAAAGGCCAATTCATTTCATTACCAGCTGAATTTCATTGCCAGGTGCAATTCTGGAGCTCCATTTTGCTCCCAGCTTTCTCTCTGAAAGACTGACGGAAAGGAATTACCAGCATAGGCCTCTCGGCGGCTCCCTAGGACTCGGAGTTTTTGCTTTCAATACCAAACAAGATCTGGAAGACGTGCTCGCTTTTGTGTTTCTTGAGGAACTCCAAGAACCGGCCCAGGTTCATGTGGTAGTCGTTGCGCAGTCCGTAGTCGCCGTGGGCCTCCAGGAGCAGCTCTTCAAAGGAGTGGAAGAGGCGCAGGTCCTCGCCACTGCCCTCTGTCTCCACACTCTCGGCGTGCTTGCAGGAGATGTGCTTCCAGTTGGGGTACCTGATCGTGTGCCAGAACTCCTCACAGTGCTCCTTGAAGCCCTCCACACAGATGATGCCAGGCTTGCCTGTCATGCAAAATCCAGTCACCTCCAACCTCTTCCCCACATCCAAAATCTTTTTCCTGAGGTCCTGCTGATATATATGGTGGCTGTAGATCCACATTCGGAGGAACGTGTTCTTGATGGGCTTGGCCTGTGTGGACGGTTCGTACACTAGCTTTCTGTTCAGGAAGTAGGATTCACTGTTGTCCTGCAGCCACTGGATTGCTGCACACACACAGAGCTCACCTGGGTCAAAAGTCCCGATGTAAGCAGTGAGACCTTTGTTGAGGAGCAGCTGCTGCTGTCTGTCAAGCTCAGAAGACCGTCCAAACAACTGCAACGCCACGTAGGGGTAGCTGTGAGGCATGGTTACTTGCAAATCAATTTTCACCTTAAAATGAAAGTAAAATAGCTTTAAGTACCACAAAATCACATAAGCTAGTTTATCAATGGCAACTGCATGGTTTTGAGAAAGGAAGTAGTTATTGCTCTGTACCAAGTGAGTTTTCATACCCTATTCCTTCCATGTATGAATTCTTTCCATATTTATTGAACAGCTAGATGTACCAGATGCTCTGGGCTGGCATAAAACATTGAAGCCAAAAACACTATTTCTGCCTTTTACGAAGTCTAGGGCCTAGTGAAGAAGACACACACTAGACAAATAATTACGCCTGGCAAATATTTAATTTCAACTGTGAGAAGCATTACCATGGAAAAGGGGAGGGCTCCAATGAAGGCGTCCCAGTGGGACACAGTTGGGTCGAGACCCAGGCGGCCTCCGAGCGAATGACAACCGAAGGATAAGCCACCGAACAGTGGCTTCCCAACGCCCAGCCCTCCTGTCACCCGTCTATGCTGGTGTTGCTGGAGATGATGGATCAGAAGAGGCACAAGTGTTTATATCTTGTATCTGCGTTTGCTTTCTGTGGTTTGCTGCCCTCAAGAACCATTCACTCACTCTTGAAAGCCAGTGTGGCAACGGGTAACACTGAGTTTGTGACGATCATTCTGGGTGTGGAGGGCAGTCCATGCCATGACCCCTGGATTGGCAGGAAGCTGACTGAGTGAACACCATAATCACGGCAGTATACGATTGCGAGATCTCAACACAAACTCTGGGCTCACTTGTTTAGAAGGTGTATGTATTTATATAAAATTCCGCATACTTTCTGAGCATCCCACGTTGGATATTATTTTGCTTTCAAACAAGTAAAGGAAATATGCACCTGGAATACTGCTATTCGTTTCCTGGACAGGAAGCTCACGTTCAGGTGTTTCAGTTAATGACTGGGCACCGACCTACGCGTCAAACGAGTCTGGGCACCCACCTTGGGCTCCTCAATCTGGAGCGTAATCACAAATTCGATATTTGGGGGTAGCTCCTCCCTTGCGCCTTCCAGATACCTCCTTATATTCGTCAGGGCATTGACATCTTCAAGTTTCAGCTCCTCTTGGTTGGGAAACATAGAAAACAGCATTTCCATCTCCAGCAGCTGAAGCTGAAGGCTTTCTTCCACCGAGGCAGACATGTTGTCTCCAAATCCAGCGGCCCGGACACCTGCAAGGCCCAGAGACAGGGTCCGTCAACGGCAGCGCGTGTCCAGCGGAATTTCCCGAAGGCCCCTCTGCGCCGCGGCAGCCCTGCAGGGAACGCTGGGCACCGGACGCCCTCGCCCTCCCGCGTGCTCGCCGGCCCCGCAGTCCCGGACGCGCA